TGAGGGTCCAGGCGGACTCCCAAGTTGCGAACCCTATCTGAGGGGCGTACAATTTGACCCCCCAGCCTGAGAGATGGAACACTTAGCCAATTCGTGAGCTAATTGTCTCATAAGGGACCCCCCCTAGTTTCTTGGACCATAAGGGTGAGGGAGTAGAGATGTACTTTCATACCTGGAAGATTATGTTAATATAATCTTATCAGGAGTGAGTTGCTGCTGTCATTACTGCTGGTGCTCGCCTGTGCGCATTTGCAAATAATAAGGTCTGTGCATGCAGAATAAAAAAATAAAAAAACTTGCAATGAAAATTGTTTTGCACATGTGCAGAACTGAAAAATAAGATGGCAGCCCTGTAGGAGAACCAGTTTGGGGGCGTGGCAGGCCTGGGTTCGAATTGGTCCAAAACAGTAGGAACCCACCTTTGCTTACAATAAAGCTATCCTCTTGGTGGGCTTCTTGCCTGGACTACTTTGAAGAACAGATGCTATGAAACTAAAGTTATGCATGCTAATATTACTTTCATTATAAGGTTACAGTAACAGATTCATGCAAGTCTTACTACAGTTCCCAATTCCTTCCTGAGAACTAGGGCGAGTCCTTTCTGAGACGGCTTTTTAATTTACATTCCTGCCTCTAACACGGATTTCTTTTATCTAATTATTGTCTTGGATGAGGCTCTTCCTCAATGTTATTCCGTCTACCTATTACATCAGGAGATCTAAGTGTTGCTACCTAACTGGCCACTGTTACATATATGTAAGTAAAAAAAATCACAGAATCTCCTGTCTTCCTTAAGCGTTATTAGTTGAACGTGCTAAAGCCCTTGCAACCTTTACAGACCCAGGTTTTGCACATGTAAATAACGTTTGAATGATTGCAGATGAATGCTGTATGTGAATGGGAGAGATGACAAATAAACCCCATCAAATCTTATATAAATAAAATGAAAGTACCCTAGTTAATAATTTTTACCTTTGGATTTGCAAGACAATCATTTTGTCCTGATAAAAAAGTTATGTTTTTTTTTTAAAGACTGAGGGATATGCTTGGAAGGTTTTAAATATTTTTAAGCCTCCAAAGAAGTGCCTAGCACTGCCATGACCAGTGAGGATAACATTTAAGTCCATTCTTGAGAGTGTGAGGTATTGGTGATGAGATGGGCTTTGTTAAATTTCCTAAAGCATGTGAAGATCTAACAGACTAATTTCACACTTTAGTTTGGCCCCACATCAGAAGAAACTTCTCTGTAAAAACTTATGGCTTTACGTCTGAATGTTGGCATCCAGATATACATTGCCAGGGAATGCAGGCTTGCTTGTGATTCTGGATTGTAGTTTGCCCACTCTTATCATAGAACAGATGTTGCTACATGTGCACTGAACAGGAAAACAGCTTTTATGTGAAAGCATATGCATGCCCAATTGTAATTTATAATTTATTAAACAAATATAAGTAGTTGTTTGAAAATAATCTTCCCAATGGCAAAGTTGGAACAAAGGCCCAGCCTTTGATAGATGCTCCCAGATTTATGTAAGAGAACAGGTCTTTATGGATTATTAAACACATCCATGGCACCATGACAGCTGTAGAGTCCTCCCACTCTAAGATAGTTTCTAGGGAGCAGTATTCAGGACAGGTGTGTGGATGCATCCACTCCAGAATATTCATCTAGTTTTGTGAAATCCCCTTTTGCCTTTCATTTTTGAACAAAAGAGTCACATTATTCAATGTTTGACTTGTCTGGAAGGTACAGAATAGATGTCGATATAATAATGACCTTAACAGCACTAGCAGCTATTAAAGGATGTTTTAAAGGCAGATCTGTAAAACAGAATTAAAAACAACACTTTGCTAAAATGGCAGTGGTTGTAAAAGGAGTGTGTCTTTTTTAAAAGCAATGCTAAACACTCTTCCTTTAAACTTTCTTGTGTTAATAGGGTAAAAAAATAGTATCCATTAGCAAGTAACGATAACTTTTGTTTTAATGAAAATGTAGCAACGACATTAGCAAGTAAGATAAATCTGGCATTGCATAATAATCTCCTTTTAAAAAGGACAGAATAGAAACATAAAGGCAGTCTATTCCCAAGTGCTGAGTGGAACTGTTTCGGTTCAAAAAAGACAAGAAAAAGATACATAGTTCTCCATAGAGAGCTAAAACTATGACACACTAAATGCACATTATAGAACTAATATTAGTTTCCTTTGTTATTTTCCATATTCTTTGGCACATAATAAACTCCTTGTCTCTGACTCCATTCTATTACCAATCAAAAAAGAATTACATGAGGAAAATATTAATTGTCACAATCATTTTTAGTCTCAAAAATTCCTCTGGGCACTTTGCATTCCTATTAAATATAATGCTGTGTAGATTTGACTCAATGTTTTGTTTAGCAGCTTGTCTGCCTAGAAAAACTGAAGGGGTATCTGTATGTGATTGTATGTATGTATGTATGTGTGTGTGTGTGTGTGTGTGTGTATCAGCACAAATGCAACACACACACACACACATATGTGTGTGTGTGGGGGGGGGGTGTTGCAATTGTGCTGATAAATCAATAAAGGGAGACTAGTATAGATCTATTTCAAGCTATTTAGCTCTCATCAGACTGGGCTGTATTACATATTAAGCAGTTATATTAGCCACTAAACCATAGGCTCTCCTCCTTTATCAGTTAAGCCAGGGAAATAGGTATGTATTGTGTCACAACCACTCGTATGCCTAAATATGGGAGGGAGCATACTGCTTCCCTTTTCTGTCTATCGACTCACTCTGGGAGCCATCCAGGCAGAAAGCCATTTTTTTATGTTGTCTTGTTAGATCTATACTAGTCTCCCTTTATTTATTTATCAGCACAATTGCAACACAAATGTAACATACATGCATGCACATATTCTGAAGGATTAGAAGAGATGGTGAAGAGTGATTCCACTGATATGTAATATACATGGTACTTTTGATACCATTTCATTTTGCAGACTTTCTGCTTAAACGTAGAAAAAATACTCTTTAACATTTGCAATATATTTCTATTGGCATCTTTTTGGCATCAGAATTCAACAGGACACCATTTAAAAGATTCTGAAAATGGCAATATTCAGTTTCAAAGCTATTTCTAAGCTAAATAGAATTATAACCCATTAGCTTTGAGAGCTGTAGTAGCATCCACATTCACAATGGGAAGACAAGATTACAAAACGTAGAAAGACAAGAAGTAAACAGATTTTAGGCTAATACCAATTTAGCAGAGAGTTTCACTTGGCTTAATAGATAGCAGCATGAAAGCTGCTACAATGCTATGAGAAGCAGCAAATCCAGAAAATTAAAACTCTGGTGCCATAAATTAACATAGGTATAGTACTGGTCCTTATCAGCATTACTACATTTCTGATACCATTTCTTAGTATAGCCACTTGGGGGCAAGCTTGATACGCTTACATATATTTATAGCCCTACATACTGATATGCATACATATTCCCAAGCAGTAAGTTATTCTTTTAAATTCTCTTCTTCATATCTTCTGGAGAAGGACAGTGGCATGGGAATAAGGGGGAAGAGAGGCAAGGAATGACACGTGCAATCTTACATATTAGCTTAGCGGCTGGAAAGCTGAGCCAATGAGGGCACAACTGGCTAGTCCATCCCCCCTCCTCAAAAATCTTAAATCACAGCTTTGAATTCCCACTTCATTGCTCAGATAGAAACTAAGGTGCACAGTGTGAATGGAATGGAAGACTGCTGCCAGGCACATGTCATAGACTTTGACCCTGACAGGGAGATCCAGCTAAGAGGTAGGTTGCTTCTTCCCTAAGCCAAATTCAGAAAACATCCTAAACAACAATTTTCATTTTCCAACTTTGATTCCTTCTTTAAATGATTTCTCCAGTTCCTTCATTCCATAACAATATTCCACAGAATCTGCATTTCTTCTTATCTTTATTATTCAGTGAAAGTAGACATAGAGGTTGAGTGGATGCCACCAAGCTTCATGGCAGAAAGGAACTGAGTGGATTTCTCATGTAGAGATTATGGTTTGGAGTGAAAATAGGTCAGCATAACATGGTGAGTTCAGCTGACAATTGTGCAGCATGCAATAAAAATTATAAGGATGCTCATGCATTTTAATACGGGGCAATGTTCTGAATGAATGCTTAGCAGAGAAATTCTGCAGAGAAATTGGCATGTAGAAATATGCTTCATTCCTTGTGGATACATCATCTTTTTTTATCTAGAAGTAAGGTGAGACATTAAATTTCTAAAATAAAAGAGAGCTTGCAAATGCAGCTTAATATGAATTCAACCCAAAGGCCTGTGTTTAATAAGCAGTCAGGCAACTGCTTCAAATACCACAAAATTGAATTTGTTATGAGGTGTGTGTGTATGTGTGTGTGTGTGTGTGTGTGTGTGTGAGAGAGAGAGAGAGAGAGAGGGAGAGAGGAGGGGAGGGAGGAAGGGAGGGAGAGAGAGAGAGTGAGAGAGAGAGATGATATGTTCTGTTCCAATTGTTATTTCTCATTGTAATTCTGTAGACTTTAACAAAATACCCTTCTCTTTCCAGCATACAGTACATAGCTTTACAATGGAGAAGGAATATTAATACAAGGAGGTGCATATGCCAATTATTTGAAATTATAAAAATCCAGGCAAAGTGATAAGGTTCAGCAATGTAGTAAATGAGACACTGAGGCATGGAAGATATCATTGCTAATTACCATATCCTGTTTGCAGAGGAAGATTGTTGTTGTCATATATAAAAAAGTAATATTGATGTTCCTCTGGATCCTGCTTCTCTGTTAGATGAAGACACTTTGCTAAATGAAGTTATTCTTTATACATTTACACAGTGATCATGCAATTTATTCAGAGAAAAAGTATGCTTCCCAAGAGTTGAAAAATGAGCATTCAAATCATACAGGTGATTTGTAACACACACACATACACCACACTTTGAGATGTGTTTTTAATTTAATCTGTCCATTGTCTCAGCTCAGGATTTCAGCAGTACCATGTGACAAGTTGATTTTTCTACTAAAGAGATTATGGTAGTTTGACATTTGATGAAGATGTTATCATGCTGCCGTGGTAGGGAATTCTTTAAAATAGTCTTCGTATCAATTATATAAGTCAGTGTTTGCATACGGAAATTCTTGCACAAACTAACTGGAAGAGAGAGAAAGTCAATGAGTGAACATAGAAACCAGCACAATTAGGCAAAGGCCTAAAACTGAACTCTCAACTCTTGCTTTAGGTGCTCACCTACTGAATTCAGTGCAGCTGTTTTCAGACTAGACATGCAAAGAATTATCCCACATGAATAACCAAAGAAGTACATATGTACACATGTCCACACACACGCATGCAAAGATATATTCAAATATGCAAGTATCTCTTGGAATGCAATGGGCAGTTAGAAATTATCCATACTTGAATATTCATTTAGATGCACTTTCTATCAATGGTGGTTCTGGTTGCCGCTACGACTGGTTCGCTCAGGGACACGCCATGCGCCCGCGTGCTTGATGCAACCGCGTGCTTGATGCGTGCTGTGCGTGCTTGATGCATGCTGTGTGCGCATGCACAGTGCAACAAAAATTGCAACAAGATGGCGGCACCTACAGCAGCACCGAGAGAAACAGTTCTGGGGCATAGCAGGGTTAGGTTGCTGCTGGTTCCAATGACCCAGGCTGCCAACTTACTACCAGTTTGACCGAACTGGTCCGAACTGGTAGGAACCCACCTCTACTTTCTATATATGTGTTTATGCATTCATCCACATGTCCTGCTTGCTGAACAACATTACGTAAATTCAAGCAAGCATGTAAATTAACAAATGTCTAACTAAATCTATCCTGATAGTTTAGTTGCTGTTCTCAGTCTATCCCTGGTTCTCCATAAAGGCAGCCCCCACCTATCTTTCCTCACTCTGATTCAAAAGTGGAGTTTTTTCTACTCCTACCGGAGCAAGCCTTTGAAAGTGGACAGTCTGCTGAGAATTATTCAGAAATGACTTTCTGGTCCTGCTGCTCTTGGTCACCAGAGGCAGCCCTGGGCTTGCCTCCTTTTGGATCCCTGATTAAGGACCATTTCCCTTGAATTGGGGTTCTTCCGCTTCTTTTGCTAACTTTTGGGTGGAAAGTAGGGCTTTCAGTTCTCTAGGTAGTCCAAAGACTCTCTTTCTCTCATGGAAGGGAGAGTGTGGGGGTGGATGAAGAACAAGTCTTCTCAGAGAATCAGCAATAAAGGAACAGTTCTCTCCTTTTCCCCACTCTCTGTTTTCCAGCCACCCTGGGTTTGGCTTAATCTATATAAGTAAGTAAAAAAGAGAAAGACAAGGCAATAGAGAGAAACATATCTTGTCTTTATTGATAACAGTGTCTCTAAACTGAGAATAAAAATAAGTAGGCCAAGAAGTCCCTTAGATAATCCAATAAGAAAAATGGGTGAAGAGAAAAAGAATGCAGATAGGCTTGGACTAATACAGTATATTATATACTACAACCGTGGTGGCACAGCTGTTAGAGTGCAGTACTGCAGGCTACTTCTGCTGACTGCTGGTTGCCTGCAATTTGGCAGTTCGAATCTCACCAGGCTCAAGGTTGACTCAGCCTCCCATCCTTCCGAGGTGGGTAAAATAAGGACCCAAATTGTTGGGGACAATATGCTGACTCTGTAAACTGCTCAGAGAGGGCTATAAAGCACTGCAAAGTGGTATATAAGTCTAAGTGCTATTGCTATAAGAAATATGGAATATAGAAGTAAAGAAATATGGAATATAGAAGTAAAGAAAAACAATTGAAAAGTGGGATATAGAATCATCCTTGGAAGGAAAAACAGAAATGTGTGGATAAGCCAGGTACAAAGCCTTAGAGCTAGGATGATGAGATAAAGAGTGAGGGAGACAGAGATGGGAAAAAGGAATGCACTGTTGTCCTTAAATCAAAAGACCTGGAAACAGCTGTTGTCAGAAATCTTATAGCACTGGCTAAAGAAATCCGTGGTAGAAATATGGTAAACACTCCCAATGTGGTGGAAAGTTAAATCCAAACTCAGCGATGAAGTTCAGTTGATTTTTTTTTCCTCATTTGATTTTGGTGAAGATACTAAGCTTCTGCTGATTTACTGCTTACAGTTACTGTGAATGTGCAATAACAACAGCTGCTGTGAAGAATGAAAGACTGGTGAGTAGCTTGATCCTTCAAAGCTCTCTTGAGAAAGAGAGAATGGGAGATCACCCACAAGTGCTCCTTACTTGGAGATAGTAAGACAGCAGCCTTTCATGCGTCTAAGCACCAGGAGCTCTCAGCATTGGCAGTGCCTTTAAGAAGGACACTAAGGTAACTGAATTCACATTCCAATCACATATAGAAATGTTCAATTTAACCACATTATGAATATTAGCTTTTAGCTCTCTTTTAGCTTTCAGGAAAAGCCTTAAAACCTGTCTATGCTGGCTGTCAATGGGTCCAGAAGGAGAGGCTGTCAGCTGGAGATAGTTTGTGCACTTAACAGTGAACATCATAGCCTCTCCACTCCAAACTCATGTCTTTTGTAATAAAAAATCCTGGATGGATACCTCTTAATGGGATTTACAAAGTAGAAGAATAATGAAAGATGACACTGAAATTATTTAAAGGTCAAGATTGTGAAGTGAAAAAAAGAAGGAATATAAAGTTGGATTGTTTGATCAGGGATAAATGATTAGTATGATATTTCTGGTAATTCTTAACTGACTTTTTGCTGAGCCAGGATTGAAAAGATTAGCATTATTGAAATGCATATATGGGAAGTCCTTGACTTATGACCACAACTGAGTCCAAACTTTCCATTGCTAAGCAAAGCATTTGTTAAGTGAGTTTTGCCCCATTTTACAACCTTTTTTCCACAGTTGTTAAGTGAATCACTGCAGTTTTTAAATGAATCATGTGGCTTCCACCATTGACTTTGCTTGTTGCCAGCTGGCTGGGAATGTTATGAATGGTAATCATATGAACCTGGGACACTGCAACCATCATAGATACATCCCAGTTTCTACATTAAACCCATAAGTAAGCAAGCTGCTGTGAACAATTATAACTTCTGATAAATTATATCTTTAACTAGTCAAACAATAGTACAGAATATACTGGAAATGCAGATCCAGTCAAATGTTTAATATAAATGTTTAATAAGCATACTTTAAACTATGACCAAAAATATTAAATTTTCTGGTTTTTAACAGCAATCTATTTAAATCTCATTATGATTTGAATTGATATGAATACATTGATAAGCTGTAAATTACCAATTGAATTATATAGATGTCTCAGTCTCTTCTAATTAATACTGAAGATTGTTATTTCAAATTTTGTATAGACTTTAAGCAGTTCACAATTCTTAAGTTTAATTTTAATGCTAAATATCTATTTCACTTCCTGAATAAATATTCAGGAATATGATTTGCAGTCAATTACCTAAAGTTATGGATGGAAAAAGCACAATTAATCCTTTATATTGTGTAGTTACGTTACAGCCAGAAAACGGGGTTCATTTTCTGCTTGATGTGCTAACTTCCTGGGATGCCATTTTCTGCTCTGCCAGAAGCAGGAAAATGCCTTTGGCTAGCAGCCTGCTGCTTCCCAACACCAATCAGTCTCTGTAGCAAGAGGAATTTTTCTTCTGACATGTGACAAGAAGGGAGCATGGTGTTTAAGGTAGTGACACCACCAGAGAAGCTCTGGGATGCCATGAGAGGAAATTTTCCTCATTAATCATTCTTTAATTAAAGGACAGCTTGACATCAGAAAATAGAATCTGGCCTCTTGTGTAAACAGAATCCTGTTTCTTGTGTGTGTGCTGGCTATCTTTCCTTTTTTCCTTTTTTTTAAAATCGCTTGCTGCTCACATTTTGCCATGCAGCCATGTAGCTCTCTGCTACTGCTGCCTTTTAAAAAATTATCTTCTTAAAATAAAGAGAGAATGGGAAAAGCCACTGCTGCTTTGGGAGAAGATGTTGCTCTGACTTTATCTTTTATCAATTTATGGAGAGCTTCTGGTAGTATGTCAAGATAAGAAATGAACAGGCAAAGTCTAATTATTCTTGATTGTTAGTGGTGCCAACAATTCCTTATAGGCTTCATGCAGATGCTTTCAGCCATTGCTAACACCTGTAAACAAAAAATGCATACCACAATTTTGTGCAATCTAGGTATTCTGAAGTACAACTCTGGATTAGTCTATTCTGTATAGCAATTGGCCATGCTGCCTGAAGATAATGGGAGTTGTAGTCCCACTTAGCTAAAGGGCATCTATTTGTGAAATATGAAGAAACCAATACCTCATGTCACCATTTTACATGATGGAAACACAATATTTACTGATTCCCATATTGATCTTGGAGCAAAATCTTGGAAATAGTTTCTTGAACCATATTTGTCTTCCTCAGTGCACATAACAGAAACTTCTGATATTAAGGTCCAGGGACCTATACAATCACAGAAACATAAAGCAGGGGAAGCACCAATTAGGAAGTCAACTCTTAGAATAGTTCAATTGTTCTGGTATATTTAAGATTGTAGTCTGAATTTCAAAATAATTACAGTGTTAGGATTTTGCTTGCTTTCCTAGTGTTTAGCAATGGAAATAATAGCTCTAATGGAATTCCTCATGCAGTGTCCTTTGGATAGATATTTTACCATGCATTTCTCTTTAGCATTTATTTGTCAGCTCATCAAATCTTTTCCTGAGGAAAGATTCAGTTCTCAGCCTAATGATAATTCTAGCTATCTAGTCTAGCTATAAATAGCAGTGTGATTTTAGTCTACAAGCAGACTCTTATTTTCCCCACCCTTCCAACAATACTCCCTTTTATTTCTTCAAAGTTTGATTGGAATTTTGAGGAAGTAATTACAGTAGTTCATTCTGAAGCAGAACTGATTGAAGAAAACTGAACAACAACCTAAAACAGTTTTATAAAAGTATTACAACAAATAGTTAATTTTGTTTATTTGATTTGAGATCAATACATTCTTCTAATTCAACTCCTATTTCTTGAAGCTGTTTATAAAGAGTAAATTAGCACTTTTGAATATGGATTACATGGGTTCATGGATTGTATCATGGCATGGTTTATTTAGATATGAACTCTTGGATAAGGCTCTTATATCACATTGAGACATCATTTGCTTTAATCTTGGTTTATGGTTTAAGAATATAAGCAATGCTGGATCAGACAATCTAGTCCCTCAGTCTGTTCTCACAGTGACCAAGAAAATGCACAAATGCACAAGGAAACCCACTAGTGGATGGCCTTCAGATGCAGTCACACTGTCATCAAAGTTAACAACCATTGATCTCCATGACTTCCATATATTGGTCCAACCCAGGGGTGGGTCCTGCCAGTTCTAACCTCTTCTATAAAAGAGGTTCCACAAATCTACAGTGCCGTTTACAACCAGTTCCAGCTCCCTCCCCCCACCCGTCCGCACATTATCAAGATGAAGAGCAGAGGAGGAATTCTAGGAGTTGAAGTCCACAACTCTTAAAGCTGTCAAGTTTGAACACCCCTGGTTTTTTTTGTAAAGGATTAGAGGTGCAAGGGTCTTGTAACTTGACAGCTTTAAGACTTGCATGCTTCAAATGCCAAAGTTCCTGAGCCAACATGATTGGAGGAGGAATTCTGGGAATTGAAGTCCACAAGTCTTAAAGCTGTCAAGTTTGAACACCCCTGGTTTTTTTTCCTAAAGGGTTAGTGGTGGAAAGGTCTTGTAACATGACAGCTTTAAGACTTGCACACTTCAATGCCAGAGTTTCTGAGCCAACATTTTGGTTGCTAACAAGAGAGTTATTAAGTGAGTTTCACCACATTTTACAAGTTGGCCATGCCTGCCCAGTCACATGGCCGGCAAGCCACTCCCACAAAGCAGGTCACACCTACAGAAAATGTTCTAAAACTTTTTGCAACCCATCACTGGTCCAACCCTTTTTAAGAGTTACCCAAGCTGATAGTTGCACCACAGCTCATAGTAGCAAATTCCAAAGTTTAATTATGCTCTGTGAAAAAAAATATTTGTACTTGTCTGTGGATATTAGCTGGGTTCATTTAATTCAGTCAGCCAAACCCAAACAAAATGTATAAACTGTGTCATAAACCATGCAAAGCTATGATCTGTTGAATAAACTACAACTAGCTAAAGTCATATACCATGCCATCCATAAACCATAGTGATATGGTTATGACAATTATAGTTGCGATCCAGGCCATTATTGCTAACTTCATATAACGTGTTGGTGAAAGTGTTTTAATATTGTATGTCACCTCGAGTCAATCAAATAAGCATGTGGATAATGTAAAATAATAAAGAAAAAAGTGATTGGCTAGATTGTGATCCAGTGGATCATGTGAATACAACAAGCAACTGCTTTCAGCAAGCCAACGTTCAGTTTGAAGACAGGAAAAACAAAGCTAAATAATTCAAATGATGTTAGATTCAACCACAACAATACACGAGCAAACAACAGATACAAACTTAAGGTAAATCTCTCCAAACTCGATTGCAGAAAATGTGACTGCAGCAACAGAGTGGTGAATGCACTACCTGACTTTGTGGTTTCCTTCCCAAACTCCCAAAATTTTATCCTTAGACTGGCTACTGTTGACCTCACCCCATTCCTAAGAAGTCTTTAAGGGGCGTGCATAAGTGCACCAGCGTGCCTACCGTCCCTCTCCTAATGTCCCTTTTTATTCGAATCCTTTTCATGTATTCAAAATCATGTTTATACTTTTATCTGTTATCACACACACACACACGACAAAATAAATAAAATAAATAAATAAAAATAGCAGTTACAAAATGCTAGTCATGCTATTTTCCTCACCAATCTTAGCTACAACATACATAAGTGAAACATCTTAAGCTTTTATACATTAAGGAATTCACCAATTAGTCAATAGCTACCGTATTTTTCAGAGTGTAAGACGCACTTTTTTCCTCAAAAAAGAGGCTGAAAATCTGGGTGCATCTTACACATCAAATACAGCATTTTTTGCCCCTTCACAAAAATGGCCGTGCATATCCTTATAGAGGCTTTCAGAGAGCTCCTAGGGGCTGGGGAAGGCAGAAATGAGCAAAAATGAGAAATGACCCCCCCCCCAGCCCATAGCAGCACTCTATAAGCCTCCATAAGGCGATGCATGCAATTTTTTTGACAAAAAAAGGGCCCATTTTCATGAAAAATGAGCCATTTTTTGCTCATTTTTGCCCCCCCCCCCAGAGCACTCTGCAAGCCCCCCTCCCCAAGGCTATTCATGCCTTTTTTTAAAAACGGGCCTGTTTTCGCGAAAAATGGGCTG